GTCTGACTCCAGTACGAAGTCTGGGGTGTCTCCGAATATGGCCCTGCCATTCCAGGCTTGCATGCTGTCCAGCCACCATGACAGTTCCTCGCGAACTTCCGTCGTCACCGGGACGATTTGATCGTACGTGGGCCTGCGGCGTAGGTACCTCGCCTTGAGGCGTTGCATGGCTCTGTAGTGGAGGGGACCCGGGAATATGGCCTGAATGGAGGCGGAGAGGAGTCCCACGATCCTGGCCAGGTTGCGGAGAGGGATGGAGTCGCGACGGAGTGCTCTGCGAATCTCCTTGCGAATAGACGAGATCTTCGAGGCTGGAAGCTTTAGAGTGCATGTAGTCGAGTCGATCTCGAAACCCAGGAATTGTATCGTCTGGGTTGGGGTCAATTCCGATTTCTGGCGGTTCACCACGAAGCCCAGAGATTCCAGCAGTGTTACTGCGAGATGAGTGTATTGGTGCAGTCTGTGCTCGTTGGAGCAAAAGAGAAGCAGGTCGTCCAGGTAGATGATGCATCGGACGCCCCTGGATCTCAGGTGGGCCACCACCGGTTTCAGAAGTTTGGTGAAACCCCAAGGGGCCGAGCTGAGCCCGAAAGGGAGGCAGGTGAATTGCCAAGGACGGCCGTGCCAGAGGAAACGTAGGAGTGTTCGGCAATCCGGATGCACTGGGACCGACAGGTATGCATCTTTTAGATCTAGTCTGGTGAACCAGTCGTTGCTTTGTAGGAGGTCCCGCAGAAGGTGGATGCCCTCCATCTTGAAGTGGCGATATGCCACATACGCGTTGAGGCCGCGTAGGTTGATGACCGGACGGAATTCTCCCGACTTCTTCCGAACCAGAAAAATATTGCTGAAAAAACCTCCCCCGTCGTAGGTCGGCTGGATAGCCCCTTTGTCCCGAAGTTCGCGTAGTTCCGCGTTGACGAGGGATTGGTCGGAAGATGACATGTGGATGGGGTGAGGAGGTTGTGTCTGAAAGGGAGTCCCTACTAGGTCTATGACATATCCCTGTACCGTTTGTAGGATCCACTTGTCTGAGGACAGAGCGGCCCAATTCTGGAAAGAATGGGAAATACGGCCCGCGTGGCGGGTGCAAGGTAACAATGGAGGAATACGGGTGCTTACCTGTAGCAAAGCGGGAACGTCCGCGTCCGCGTGGTCCCCGGCCTCTGTCCGAGCCTCGTGAGAAAGGTTGTTGCCTGTACCTCGTGTTGGGTAGAAAGGTGTCGGTTGAGTGCGGGGGCCTGAAGGCCAGAATCGGCTGGCGGCACGGCCCCGTTGCCGGCCAGCCCTTCCAAAAACTCCTCTGGTGGTAGTGCTCCGGAAGACTCTGCGCATAGAGGACTGCGCCTTATTAAGTGAAGTGAACACGTTCACGTGTTTGTTAAGTTCCTTGAGGAACGGTTCACCGAACAATTTTCCTTGTGCCTGGGGCCCAATCTCCTTAGTGCCAAGCTCTGCCAATTTACCGTTAATACGGAATAGCGCTGCTTTCCGTCTCTCAGAAGAGAGCGTAACATTAGTGTTTCCAATGAAACAAAAACACCGTTGTGCCCATTCGCGCACGTCGTGTGCCCATTCCTTGATGTCCTCGGCAGAGAAAGAATCGGCTCTGGCAAGGGCGTCATCTGCCAGGTACATGATACGGGCCCGAGGGCCAATGGAGTCCAGCAGGTTATCCTGTGCGCCGAATAGGCCTTTCTCTACCCCTCGTCGAGGGTCTCTCCCACTACGCATCATGAAGGTTGTCATAACCTTATTAAACTCGGGAGTGAGAGCCACTTTATCTGGCAGGGAAGGGCGTGGGCATTCGGATCTGAGCCGGTTGCGGACCTCTTTCTCCAGGGGCTTGCGAAGCCACAGGTGCATAAACCTGGAGAGGTGTTCTGGGGGTGACCAGTCTCCCGATCTGGGGTGGCGGATGTTGCGGGGATCAAACATCGCTTGACCCGAAGGGTCTAAAATGGTGTCCGAATCTAGAAGGTGTTCTGCGTCCGCAGTGTCTTCAGTACCCTCTGTCTGGGCCGCACCCAGAAGAGTCTCCCGCATGAGGGCGGAGACAGATTTTTCGTCCGAACCCCAAGCGTCGTCTGAATCAGAGACGTCAGCTTGCCATTCGTCCAGCACTGACATGGTATGTGAAGGCCCTTGCTCTTCGTCCGAAGAGTAATCCTGACGCGGGGTCGGGGTACTAGCTTTGGCAGATTTGCGCTTGGCATGCGCCTTACCCTTAAGAGGTTTTAGTGCCTGATCTTCGCCTTTCTCATGGCGTTTCCTTGGACGGGAATCCTCCCTGGTCCGGTAGTCGGACATATCCGAATCGGAGTCCTGGCGAGGTTGCCTGCGTTTGGGCGCCTCTGTAGTGCGTGCCTTGGAGAGTGCCTTCTCCACCGAAGCAGCGACAGCTGCATTGATCATTGCTTGGAAGTCCACAGGGACTTTCTGGGAGTCTTCCATGGTAAGGGTAGGCTGATATAAATCACGGATAGGCACAGTATAAATGGGGCACCCAGGTCTTAAATATATAGGCGTAGGGTCAGTTGACGTGGCACCTGTGGTGGGTAACACTCCACCCAGTATAAGAAACCCCAGCAGGGTATAATTGGTGACCTTATAAAAAACTGGGGCTCACCCAGTTAGAGAGAACTGCAACAGCTAGTCTCCCAATAAGCAGCGTGGTACACAAGTACGTATAATGGGGGCTCACCCCGGTTGCACAGGGTTGCTACCCTTAACTGCAGGTCACAATAATAAGCAGGCAGCAGCACTGACCTGACTGACCCAGCCACAGAGTATATTATCAGTGTAGGTAATCCTGGTACTCACAGTGATGAAGTTCACAGCCACAGATTATAGGCATGCAGTGTAGGTAATCCTGTCACTTGCAGTGATGAAATTCACATCCACAGAGTATAGGCCTGCAGTGTAAGTAATCCTGTCACTCACAGTGATGAAACTCACAGTCACAGAGTATAGGCTGCAGGAGTTCACACTAGGGCTTCAGACCAGCACAAAAGCAGGTGGAAGGGGCTAAGGCAGCAAGTACTGAGTCCCCAGAGAGATCCAGGCGAAAAAACAAGATGGCCGCGTGAATCTCGCGGTATTTGCGATCCAAAATGGCGGCCGCGAGTGTAGGCCGCAAGCCGGGGACTAAATTTAAGGCCGGCTGCGGGCGGGCGCCAGCCGGCGCGAAAAAGATCGCGATTTATTCCGGTCGCGAGTAGGGGGCCCAGGAGGGCACCCCAAGGTAGGAAAACCGGAGGGGAGCCTGAGGGAAGCCCAGGGGGGAGCCCAGGGAGTCCCAGGGCCGGCAGAGGGGCAGGGAGGGAGAAACTAAAAGGGTAAAACCTAGTCCTACCCACAGCCTTAGCCAGGCAATATAAATAATAAATATACAGACAAAACAGAAATTAATTAAAGGCAAGTAATAAAATAAATAAAACAGACTAATACAGAAAATGCAAGAAAAGGCTCTGGAGGAGCCAAATAGTCTGACCTGTCTGCGTGGAGCAGTAAAGAAAGAGGAAGTGTACAGGCAGCATGACCCTTATATATACTATGCTGCTCAGTGATTTAATGTTACTCTTTACGTTTTTCTTTACTGCTGTGGAGTTTAGTAAAGAGAGTTAATGCAAAATAGGAAGCCTCCTGTCATGTTATAAAATTCTCTGCCATAAGCAACTGATAACTGATTTAACAGCTGTAACTGTGCTGAAATTGTCAGCTCACCCACTGTTTCCAAACAGTAAAGGAAGTTTTAATGGGTCATAATATTCCTAGAATCAGGGAGAAGAGAATGAACTCTACAATTTCACTATTAGCATTACATTAGCAGTCCAAAGATTAATAAAGTTTGATATAGCAGTTTTCAATTCCTTTATTTTAGAAATATATAATTTAACTGTATCTGAATGTGGATATTATGCTTAAATGCAGACATTTGTTTAACCTTTTTCACATTTTAGTAGTCTATATTGCTTATACTCATAGCCGATCCTGGGCTGGGGAAAAGGAATGCACAGCACCCAGGCGCTTTGTGAGTAGCCCTTTGTTATACGCTCTGCCTCCTGTCTAAAGGCCCTCAGAGCTCCTGGAAGGCTGGCTGGGCTGGAAAGTGAGCACACACAGGAGAGGGCACTTAAGGGCACATGAGGGATGGGCTAAAGATGGCAAAGGAG